CGAATATAATGTGTTTTATTGTTTTTATGTGTTTAGTGCACGGAGCGGAAGACTTAAAACACTTACCACGTCTAACACAGTTGTAGATAGTATTCCTGTGTATGAAAAACCCATAAGAAAATTGATCGCTATCGGCGCTAATGAATCTTCTGTTTCTTCGGATTTCTAAACGCAAATATCACTCGCACAGGTCCACAGCGACAAGCTCATCACGTGTCATGGTTTGTTGCAATCAGCTTGTTGATTCTTCGACTGCTATATCTGCCTAAATCCGTGAGAGCTTACGTTATAATTTTCTACATTCCCCTGTTTCATTTTATTATTCGAAAGGCTATTTTTACGGGTAAATTAATTGAGTTGAGTGTAAGAGCACACCGAGATTAGCATACTTATAACTTATAAGCAAGCTATGCATGATATACCTTAAAGATTTATCTACGTCCATCAAAGAAATTTTTAGTTTTATATAAACATCAAGTCGTAAATGCTCGTAAGTCAGACATAAAGTTTAGTCAGTTCTAAAGCTTCTTATGGTTGTTAAATTAATTAAATTCGACAAAGTATGAGAATTTGAGAGATTTCACTTTTTTTTTAATGACTTAAACAATCATTAAGGACATTTCAACACCAATAACGTAACAAATGTTGCACGTATTAATTTAGTGCCATTAGTCGGTAACCTCTACGTTCTCTTCTGATTGTCCGTAAAATATAAAAGAAATAAAGTGCACACCTACATTTTTCAACAAGTGTGAAGGTCTCACATGTTCGCTGTGTTGCCTACTGGCTGCATCGAGCTCTGAAGCCTTGCTGCAAGGTCAATTTCACAGCGTTACGGCGCACGAATGGCTATGGGATTCCGATTCCGGCCCACGGGCCATATCGCCGGCCGCGGAGGCGCTTACCCGTCAGTCAAACAACTGCTCTAGACTGTTTCAAACGCTCGTTTAGGGTACAGCCACACATTTCGGTGTCTGTGCGGATAACTGCCCAAGTGTTGTGCCTTGAGAGGAACTGTGCCGTGAATTGTGAATTTTGTACACATCGAAGAACTGCCAATAGTCGAGTTAGGTGCATTCCCGTAAAAGAAGCGGTGAGTTTATTTAGTTTTCTACGCTTTTTCTGAATGCGTTAGCATTCATATCATAGAAGACTTAAGTAGAATTATCCTTTACAGAGATTGAGACTTTTGGAGGCTGTTCATGTCAACCTGTGTATCACTTTCACGAATAGAAATAAACACTTGCGGTCGTTTACATAATTATTTAACTTAGTTTATTTCTACCATCATGAGCGTTTTTGTGACAGGACTTTTAAACGGCAAGCCAACTGAGTGAGTTTTATAAAAACTATAGGAACGATATAATTATAAATCCAAAAAAGGATCACGTACTGAGTGTGCATGGGCGTCGAGAGGATGGGACTTGGAAAAGAGGGACATCCAAATCTTGCCTTGTCGCAGAAATGCTTATAAATATACCTAGTAGTAGACCGGACAATTAAAACAAATAACGGAAAAAAAGGAGACATAAAACATCTGAAGATCGCTGGTTCAAACCCCACTTTTGTTCTAAAGCCGCCGTAAAGAAACGAACTGACGTTTAGCATATAAAACAAGTCCCGTAAAAAGTCTGAGTTCAATCAATTACATTAACCAATATGCCGCTAATAATTACTCTACTCATAATAATGATATTAATGCTGATGGCAAAATATAAATGACAGTGGTGGTCTAACCACTACTATAATATATAAGTATTTCGTCATTGCCGTTTTTAAAATAAGTTAATTCAACTATGTTTAATATAGTTAATTTCAAGGAATTTTAATTCATACAATGTTTAACATCTAAAAGCATTGAAATGTGTTCAATGTCAGATGTTTGTCAAATTAAAATATAATAAATTGGAATTTCGAGTGTTTGCTGACTGATATCTGATTTTGATTAAAAAGTAGGGATAGGGGCCCCGATAAAAACATATATTTGATAAAAACACGCTTTCAAGTACGTAAAATACGTTGTCGCGATTCATAACGGCTATCCAGCTGTAGTGTACGTCACGTTAAAGATTAAGCTCTGAGAAAAGTGGACGTTAACACTGTAATGAAATTAACTTATAATCGTTATAGCAAAAGCGATAGTTTCGATTATGCGTATATAAAGTATCGCAACGTGTATATGTAGTATATTAACTCGCACCAAACACTAACGTACTAATCGATGTCATCGTGGAATAGAGGTTATTTATCAGAACGAACTATTTTATTAAAATATTAGCGGACCCTTCACGTCTTAATGCACGTCTTAAATCCGACAACTTATAAATAAAAAAAATATTTTAAAAAATGTAAATCTGAACCATTCCCGAATCGACCTTAAGACACACAAATTGAATAAAATCGGTCCAGCCGTTTAGGAGTTCAGTGGCACACACACGCACGAGAAATTGTATATATAAAGATTTTAAAACTTCGATGATCATGCGCTAACTAAGCCATTTGTACAGCCTCTGCTGTAGCACAGATGACCAAGCTGGCAGGAAATACAACGACCACACAGAGGACCGGCTTTTGCGTTTCGTCTGGCGAGTAAGGTAACCGAGGTACCTACGCTGTTGGGAAGGTTCAACGCATCAACAAATCAGTAATCTTAACATCAGATGAACCGCCTGCTCGCTTGAAAACTTTTCACTTAAAAAAAATATAAGAATCAATGAAAGAAATCGAAAGGTTCCATGAACCGATTACCAAACGCGGATAGATCACCAGCCGATATTTCACGGTGGTTTCAGCTGAGATTGCGATAAATATTACAGAATCCAATTTCGCTGTTAATACTACGTTACCGACTTGGGAGATTTTATCAAATGATCAATATATAATTACTAAATTTATATGTGCAACCACTTTTTTATTTAATGAAACTAAATTCATGCTGTCGTGAATATCAAAAACTGATGCTCCCGTATGCTGTGAAGTATCCAAATCATTGTGAATTTTTACAATTATATGAGTAATTAAGATCATCTTCTTGTCCTTAGATTAATGACCTAACTAAACAAGATTCAACCAGTGTCATGAAGTTATTTGGTTATTAATTCATTTTATTTTAATGTTGGCTTTTAATTATTCACTTTTGTTCTATTGCACTCTGACGGCATCTTGAGTTCTTGCTGGGGTCAGAGACGTAAGGTTTTTTTAGTTTTTATATGCTCTCCCTATTTTTTTTTGTTTCGCGATTTTTCTTCAGCACTGCCATCTTACACCGTGGGGGTAACTAACCATGTTATTTTTTTACATTTGTCCTCTTTGTCAATCAAATTTCAATCCAGTTTCACTTTACCAGTACAATGTTTAGTTTTACAGAGTTTCTCCAATATTACAATATACCGAACCCTTTCCACTTTTCATGGTCGCTGTAAAACTAATAACATCGAATATTTACATTGTGGAAAGGGTTCGAACGTCCAGAATTAAAAACTCAAACGCGTTAAAATAATGCGCATAGACTCCGTGAAATATTTTCATTTAACCCTATACAATATTCGCATTAAAACAAGTGATCAACACAATGTATCTGTAAACTCACGTTAACCTCTTGTTGTGTGTAAAACGTAGAGCAACCTTTAAAATAATTTGTATGTTTGTTTGCAGTAGCATCTAACGATGTAAGAATACTCTTGACCTTAGAAGATCGTAGTTCGCGAGTTACCACCTAAGTAGGTCGTTTGTTTGACCTTCGAGTCAATTTACGAAAATCATTAATGACTTCTGTGTCGGAACCTTGCGGTATTGTGACTTTGTCAAATAATAAACTTTCTATGTCGACGCTCTCTTTCTCTCTGTATCCTCCCTCGGTACCTTGCGGTCTCATGGCAACTGGTCGTTTTTCAATGCGACGCTGTATTTCGCACTTTAGTGTATCTGTGGACAAGTTGGTCACATGGACGGAGCAAATTTCTTTGGAGGTTTTAGTGGCTAGTATGGAGAGTGGTAGATAAACACACCCCACGATATTAGCCAACAACACGACCAAAGTTAAGATGGCATTGATGATTGATCTGGAAATTGGGAAAACGTCCGAAACCCTACATGGATCATTACGCACGCCAGCCTGTTGTTATGATCATTTCGTATTCGCATTGAGTATTTCGCGTGTGGCTGGCTCATCGCTTGTGCCAACTTTTCCGGACTGCCGACGCAGATCTCCGTTCTTCGCATTCGGCTAACCTCCATGACTAAGTCCCGTCACCGTTAAAACACTACACAATCGACCCATTCACCTTGGCAAACTGAGTAAGAAGTTTTATTTATTTAGCGTAAAGACATTAAATGCAATTGGTTTGGTTGCTATCAACTACATTATGTCGCTTTTTGAGGGTCGGTGTTCTCGCGCATCGTAAAAATTTAGGTAATCTCATATTTTTTTCGAATCAGGAGGAAATCTTAAGTTTATCATATTAGACGCATAATGAACACAAACAGAATATTCTAGTGGCAGATCTTAAGTAACAAACTGGTCAATTGTCGTGATTGATATCAAAGAATTCAAACATTATTGTCATCTTAAGTCTTGCAGTCAAGGGTTCGAATCCTAGAACATGCGTAATTTTTCCATGTTTTATTCTAGCAATATGAGACATTTTTGTATATCGTCAATCTTACATTCTCGAAAGCACGGCGTAGGCTCCTTTTTTCATACATAATGTATTGTTATCTCGAATGGATCATGTGAAGGCTACGAATATGAGGCTTACCACTCGAGAATATTTCCTACCAATAAGTATATAAATTATATCCTACTCTTCCATCTTGTATTAACTGATGTTTGTGTTATCGCCTATCATCGACCGGGAGAATCTTTTTAGCGAGCGTCATTGATTCTATTATAGGCTGTATCTGGGGAGCTAAAGGCGGCCGCGGGCGTGAAATTTGCCCGATATTCGCATAGCAAAAGTGCGGATGAAAAAAAAGAAATGCACCACGCCACCGATCCGTTAACCCCCTCCCCCCTCACTGTTTAGCCTCGCTCCGGCGAGCTCGCAGTCTGCCATGTGGGCACCGCTGGCACTGCCCTGAGCTAGAACCCGGTAACCGATTAAGTTATCGCACGAATGCAACGATTTCCAAAGTTTTGTCTTCTCTTTTAAATCCCTACGATTCAAATAAGATTTGAAATGAGAACAGCTAATATGTAAAAGGAAGTATGGATTACTCATATATCAACATCGTCTTGGTAGTCCTTACTAACTGTTCTAGAATATAATCATTGTACTTTAGTCTACTTACATTTCCTTGTGGGGTTTAAAAATTGTATATCAATTCTGTTTATAATTATTTACACTAGTTATTTAAATTCCTTTGACAATAAATAATTTTGAAGTAAATTGAACATTTTTAATTTTTGTTTGAAATTTATATTTTATTTAGTTTTATTTTTATTTATAATGTTTTTATGTAGAACACAAAGTGTTTTTTTTTTTTCTCTATTTATCATTTTTTATTACTTATCAGCGTGAACTTCTTCGTGAAGATCGTCTGAAAGAAAATATGACAAAAACCATCTCGGTTTGAATAGCGACTAACGGCATCCGATCTTCTTTGAAATTCGATAACAGAAACCTTTTTTTGTCGAGTAATGTTTCGGTGAAAAGCGTAATACAAGCAGAAATAAGACGCTTTTTATTTTTATTTATTTTATTACAACGCACCACATGAAGCAGTGCTTAACGGATATGAATAATTCCATTACACGCTTCCTCAAGCTATCAACACTTCCCCGGCAACGCCACTCGGCATTCTGGTCGTGGCGACCATTTCCCGCGCACGCGTCTCCTCTTCCGGTGCAGCTGTCGGAACGACGACCGTACGCGACCATTTTAATTTCATAAACTCGTTGTTTATAATCAAACGTTGATAATTAAAGAGAGCTTTGAGATAACGTATAATGTAATATTTTTAAAGTTAAATCATTTATTGGCACGATGGGCAATTTTGGATGACGAAAAATTCGTTGGTTTGCGTCACCGACATACTAGCGTCACATGTTGTGTCATTAACGTTGTTGATTTTTTTTTATTCATTTGTTTTGCTTATAATTGATCACTGTATAACAAACTTTTAGTTGTTCGATAGTATTTTTATCGAGACTAATGAATAAAGCTTCCCCTATTCTTTTCTTTCCGAAGAGATTGATGACAATTTTTGTTTACATTAAAAGCTTATGACATGCAAAGAAATGACTAATAATTAGACTTACGTTTACATTTTTTTATGAAATAATACTTATGTTTAGTATTTTCAATGATACAGATGGAATAAAAGATAAACATTATTAAATAACATATTTTACGAAAAACGCCTGCCATAATAAGAGTAGCAGTAATTTTTATACAAAACTTTGCTAAAAAAGATGTCTGTCGAAGTTTTTATTAAAATTGTATCAAAATTGTTGTTGTAACATGTAAAGGTTGTTTCTCAGCTCTCTTTGCCAAATGGCAAATATTCAATTAACATATAATGATACGAAAATAAATGATTATTTTTGGGTAACGTCTTCTATGAGGCTTCAGTGCATACAAAACATCATAAATTAGTAACAGAACCAAATAATTGCTTTCATAAAATTTTAATTAAGGAAGGAATACAAACAACATAGGCTTCAAAATTCAATAAATTCTTAAGTAAGAAGGTAAGAATTTCGGAAGAGAATGACTGTTGCGTGGTGCCTCGTTTAACAATTTAATAGTTATTTAAAACCAAGTCAGTATCATATGAATATATGATAACGTGTAGTCCCTTTCTTCATTTCTTTTTCTTCGTGATAGGCTTCAGTGAAGTCTTGCTTGGTACCGACGGAGACACCTTGGACATGGGCGACGTCTGGCGACTGGTGTCGATGTTCAGGAGGCTCACTTTGACCTTGGCCTTCAGGTCGGAGTACATCTTGTTCTCGCGGTTCAGCTGCGGCAGAACTGTAAGCCGTCTTTCCGTCTCCTACAATAGCACGAGTATATAAAGACTCATGGATATCACCATGGAGATAGGGTAGGTGCCGCAATGATGTTTTAATACGGATTACGCTCATCAATACTGCGCGGTGTTTTTAGATTGTTCCGCTTTACATTATACGACATATATAAGTGAATCTGTGAGATGATGTACAACGTATGATACGGAAAGAGATAGCATTCTATAGAACTGCAATGTAACGCAAACACCAATTGGTGTAATTTGTGTGCCTCAGTTTCGTTGCGCTAGTGTCATATCTTCCGCATATTTTTACATAGTATCATTGAGGTACCGTTAGCAGATATAGTGGACTTACAATTGCGTAATTTTCAAACCTCGATGATAATTCAAACCTATGATGACTGTTACTGCCTAGAAAATCTCCATAAAATTCGTATTTTTGTGTAGCCACTCCTTAGTTGAATCTTGATTTTTGATTGAATAAAACAAATACGTAATTATTGCATTTGATTGAAATTAAGTGCCACGTACGTGTCAACTTTTACTGTAGTAGGTGCTGTGTATATGCGCCTGACATAATTTTTTGTGCTAATATACGAGGTTAGACGCATATAGGCAATGGACATAAAAATATGCCGATTTTGGAAGGATAACATTGTCTTTTCCTGAAAATAATGGAAATATGTTAAATTTGTAATCTATATGATAAGTTCTTAAAAATGTTAAATATCTAGTTTTTGGATATTGTTATAGCATTTCCTTTTATCGAGTATCTAGTTCTAAATGTGCCAGGTGGCGAGCCTGACACATTTAGAACTCCATACAGAAGTGTGAGACTGTTTTTTTTTTTTTCACAAATTCGAAAAATCCGTAATTTGTTGCAGCTACTGGTTTTTCATCCTATGGAAGGAAACCTATGATAGAACAGAGACATTCAAATTAAACAATTGGTGAAATTAGATTGCAACTCTGTAGACTGCTATATCTTCCCGTGTCTTAGGCTCTACATAATCTGTCACATTCACTAATACAATAAACCGGAACAATTTTTAAACGCCACGCAGTATGGACACGCGTCATCTATATTATTAAATATTGTCTTTATAAAAAACTATGTCGATATATTTTTTTTATCATGACATATATATATGGACAGTCTTGAGACCGACCAAACAAGTTAGTTATTTACGTCTGTAAAACAAAATAGTCAATGCACGAACGCTTTTTTTTCCTTTCGCGTGATTACACTCCGTCGTCAATAATTGAAGGTCACATGCGAATTTTGTTTTGTAGCGAGAATAACTTTGTTACCAGAAAACGGGAAATCACTCGTTTCTATACGACCATTAAAGAAAAGACCAAAAAGAGAACCGCTTTACAGCAGTCTGTGATACGAGGACTCCTGCGTTTCGGAATCGAACCGCCACCTTAGGGGGCTGGTGCGGTTGTAGCATTGTTCATGATTGGTGACAGTTCGCCCTTGAGCCTCCGTGTCGCAACTGAATGTCGCTGAATTACAACGGCCCATACATTTACGGGTGAGGGTTGCCAATCTAAACGCGTTGCGTCATACAAACCTGTCGTTTTGGCTGGGGGCCGCGACGGTAACAGTTGCCAACGCTTGGCAGGTTAGCAACAAAGACTGTTCACCGCGCAATCATTAAACTAGAACCTTCAAGACTTCTTTTTTTATTTCTACATGATCAGGTGAAATAAATAGGTTCATTAGCATTTTTAAAGCCTGTCCCGTGACCATGAACGCTGTAAAAATGTTCTGTTTTTTGTATTCGTAGTCATAGTGGCAATAGAAATTCATCATCTGTGTAAATTTTTATTGTCTAAACATCCATCGAACGAAACGTCCATGAGATAAAGCTTGGTGATAGACGGACAGACAGCGAAGTCTTAGTAATAGGGTCCCGTTTTACCAATTGGGTACGGAACCCTAAAAACAGCGATAAACTTTTGTACTGAGTATATTATCGTCAATCTACTGATTTTCTTACTCACCTCCTCGGCACGAATTCTGTTCTAACCGCTGATACACAAGCTATTTTTTTTCTTTAATTTAAATTACAATTACGCTAGAGCTGAACTATAATGCTCACCTGAACATCATGGTCAATGTCACGCACAAGGTCAAAGAAATATTCTTCACTCAATTTAGCTGTTACGAAAGAATTCCTCTTGAATCACTCTATCTAGTAAAAGAAACTGCATCAAGATCCGTTGCGTAGTTTTAAAGATCAAAGCATACATAGGGACAGACAACGGGACGACTTTGTTTTATACTATGTAGTGATGATATACTCATTACACCAAACTTACTTAGTTCCAAACGCAACTGTGGCCATAACTCTAACATAACAGATCATGCCCGAGAACTGGCGAGAATATCACCCTTCATGCGTGAGTCAGACTCGTACTTGCCGGTTTTTTGGATGTTATCCCCACTGTACGATAGCATAATCTTGATCTTATAGCGTTTTGCAAACATGTTACACAAAAACAAGTACCCAGATCTCGGAGAAATTGTTGTCTGTATTCTCGTAACTGTCAATCATCGATGCTTTAATGCATCTTCAGATTTAAAAATAAGATATTTTTTTTAATTTTTTCCATTTTGGCTTTCTTAATTTTTTTATGGATCTTGGAAATTGAAAACGAGCAACCGATACCTGAGTACGTCACTAGATCATAAATTTGGTCTGATATTTTTAAATGCACGTATGTAGAGTAAATAATTAGTTTTCGTATTCTGTACTGCCATGTTAAGTGATAATGTTATGGATTATTGTGAACGATACGAGCCGATTAAAAGAGTATATCTACTTTAGCTCATTACTAGTTATTTCAAATTAATAAGGAGCTTTTGGATTGAAATATTTTTTAAGGAAAAGGGAGTCAAAAGACCAAGCAGGTAACCTGATGTTAAATGATCACCTTCGCCCATGGAGAGGTACAACAGAGGAGTCTAATTTAATCTGTGTTAATTTGTAACACCAGAGGAATGGGAAATATAGCTGTGCTAGGGCCACCCAGCAGCCTCAGCTGTTCTGCGAATGGGCAGGCCCGTCCAGGTATGTACCACGACCTCACAGAAGACGGGAGTGAAGTGGAAGTATAACAAATACTTTCGCGTCTCGTCTGGTGAGTGAGGTAGCCGGAGCCCAATTTTCAAAAGGTAGTCATCTGTAACCATGGGGTGTAGCAAATGTCCATGGGCGGCGGCAGTCACTAAACCTCAGGTTCACCTGCTCGCTTATCAACTTTTCACATAAAAAATAAATATAATTGTATTTGCGGGCTATAATAAGCCTTTAACTTCATAAATTACTTTCAAGCCAGGCCACTGTGTGCCCATTTGGTCGTTCGAGCGTATACTTCAATTTCCCAATCGACTGGCAATATTGCATCTTTGGAAATGTACCGCCTGTGTTGTAGTATGCATGTACGCAACCCGCTAACATGTTAAGAGAATGTGCTAATCCATTACTGTCCGTTTGGACACTCTGCCATGCTCTCGTAAATTGACGATTCATTTTTTATTAAAAGCGATTAGATTATTACGGTGGTAGGGCCACGCAGCAGCCTCGGCTGTTGTTCGAATGGGCAGGCTCGTCCGGGTAAGTACCACGACGTCACAGAAGACCGGCGTAAAGTGGAAGTATAATACTTTCGCGTTTCGTCTGGTGAGTGAGGTAGCCGGAGCCCAATTTCCAAAGGTTGTCAACGCATCTGCAAACCCTCGGGTGTAGCAGATGTCCATGGGCGGTGATATTCACTTAACATCAGGTGAACCACCTGCTCGCTTGGCAACTTTTCACATAAAAAAAAGATGTTAAGTGTCGCGACAATAAATGAACACACATATAGGGGATAACTTTTTAAAGTTGTATTAAACATTTAAATTCTTTAAACATCAATATTTACAGAGTTATTACATTTTCCAAAACAAATAATTTTAGAACACCCTTACCTATAAAAGCGTAACGTAAAGTTCATTTGTAAAGGTCACAAAGCATATGAATGGGTTGAATGAATTTAAGAGAAAACATACTGTTAGAAGGAGAGGCTTGTAATACGACGTTGTGGCGCGAGTTGTATAGGATGTTACAAATTTTGTTTCTTTTTTACTTAATTATTTTGTTTGAGAAATATTTCTTTTTAATTATGGACTATATGTTTAACGTTAATATTTTTTTATGATTATTGGCAAGTAGCGTTAGACGTGTGTTCATTTATTGTCGCGATGGTAACGACACGCTGTATATTCAGGGAAGTTATCAAGACTAATTTATTCAACAAGAAAATGACTATTACATGGGCTTTGGACTTTGGCTTTGATCTTGAATCGTATTAGCAATGACAGACGATAGCACTAATCATAAAAGAGTGGATTTAGTTTACTGAATTTTGTGGATATCAAAACTTACGGCATTTGTATTGTATTTTATGTAATAGGGCGTTGTTTATTAAATTCCAGCGACGATCGCGATCTAGACTGATCTATTGTAGTTTTCCCTTCGAAAAGAGGTGAAGGTAGGAAGAGGGACTGAACGATAACATAACGTTGACGTTTGACATGCATAAATTTCCCGTGGACAAACACCCAAATGTAAAGTAAGATTATGATACATATGTTAATAAATTTGAAGGTAGTCTGCTCAGCCACGTACGTAAGCCCTACGTTCCTAATCAAATGAATCCGGCAGAGGAATGTTAGCACGGATAGGTGTAGTGTTGCCACAGCACTGTTACTAGGGCACGTGATAGCCTGCCTTAAAACGCAACCTTCAATTGTGTTTGCCCGATCTTCAACAAATACATATATAAGGATGCTGTCATTATCCCATAACTAAAGAAGATTAATTGATCCCACCTGCTTCAAAACGATGATATAATAAGTTCTCCTGTGCTCGAAGCAGTCGGCTACGTTCGTGTGCGGTGGCAGGCCGAAGAGCCTCTTCAGAACGCCGTCCTCCGCGCACAGGTCGAACTGCGTGTACATTCCCAGCTTGCACCTCTTCCGTATGTACTCCAGCATCACCCTCGCGTGGCAGTCCGGGTTCACGAGCAGCGTCTCCTCCGTGGAAAGATCCGTCTCTGATGACCGCCGCCGCATCGTCGACAACTCCGGTTCGTCTTTGTATACAACGTAAATGAACATGGCGTTCGCCAATTGATAATTCAAAGGCGTGTACGTCTTCGTCTTCTTCTAAAGCAGTTGGCGGTCGATATGATGTCGCCAATGACACAAAACGTACGTCATGCCTTAGTTAGACTTTATACATCAAGCATAACGTATAGACATGACATGCAGTTGACGTACCTATAGAAATTGTAGCGACAAAAGAGTTTTCATTTGAATTGAGTGAAATGCATTTGTATCGACTGTGAATACCAGTACGTGAAATGTAAATGATTATAACAGATTTATTAATTCATGAATATTTTTGTGTATGTAAAATGAAATTATTAAATTTAGTAAAACTTTAATATATTGCATTGTGTTTAATCATGTGGGCTAAACGCGGCCATTGACATTGTAGTATTTAAAATATTCGGATTAAAAAAAATTAAATTAAACAGTATGTTTTATTTGACTTATATATATAAATACTGTTTGCTGACACATACACATCAAAGAAAATGTAATCACTACGTTTACGTTTTGATACACATTACGATATATACCCAACAGTTGGCGTATCGAGTGGAACGAGAGGGCAATGATATTTTAGTATTATGGAACGAAATTGAATTTGGTTTTTTTTTAAAAAAGAAATCGCACATCTATCCGAAATGTATTTTACAAAAATCAAATACAACTTCTAACAAATTGATTCCCATCAATTTAGCGTTAACTAAATTATGAACCGTCTTGGGAAGCTTGGATTCGGTAATAATATGGATACGAGGTAGATATTATGACATTATATTAGCGCCCGTAACTGAGGCAAATTACGCCGATTGGTGTAATGTGATTGTAATTCTAAAGTAATTGAAAAGTGGAACAACGTTTAAACACGGCGCAGAATGGACGTGTGCCATCACTACATAGTATAAAACAAAGTCGTCTCGTTGTCTGTCTGTCCCTATGTATGCTTAGATCTTTAAAACTACGAAATGGATCTTGATGCGTTTTTTTTACTAGATACAGTGATTCAAGAGGAAGGTTTATATGTATAATACACTAGCTGCTGCCCGCGTCTGCGTAGAATAGGCTGAAGGCGAAAGATTCAGACTGAATTCCAGATATACATGAAATATGTATATTTATAGCCTATCTTATTCTGATGTATAAGCCATATTATTGTAAAGTGTTGTGTATAAGCCATTAAAATCCGTTCAGTAGTATTTGAGTGAAAGAGCAACAAACATCCATCCATACATACAAACTTTCGCCTTTATAATATTAGTAATGATTGCATCCGCGCGAAGCCGGGGCGAGTCGCTAATCTTATCCTTTAAATGAGCAATTCTTGTATATATATACATATATATATATATAAAATATAAATAATCAGAATCATATATATATATAAATAATCAGAATCATTTTTTTAATTTTTAAATTCAATTTCATTAAATTTAGTATGTGCGTAGATTTGGAGGCGAAAAATCGATCTATCTGGGTTTCATTTTTAGAAAATGTCCTTTTATCCCTGTTTTCAGGGAATGAAAAATATCATTCGAATATTGACGGTAATTTTCGCCGCAAACAAATGTTATAATAGCTCGATCGGGCGGCCCCAAAACAGACAACCGCGGTTCGTATCACGATCATTTACACACTTTTTCTTTTTACTTTTTTTTCAATACCAGATCATTGCTTTCTTTATTTTTTATTTTTTTTATTTCCAAAATACATGATTTACCAAAAAAAACCGAGCAAAGCTCGGTGCTCCAGGTACTCTTTACTAAAACGTCATTGGGGGAAGGGAATCACATTTGAATTGAATGAAACGAATTTCAATCAACTTTAAAACGGGTTATGAGGCTAATTAATTTATAATTAGCACTGGTGATTCACATGACAGATTCTTTGTTCTTTCTTGTATTAAGTATAATTATTCATGCCTCATTGTGGTTTATGTGTCGATTTTGCAAACATGTTTTATTCACCGCATTTATTCCTGGGCCGATTAACGGAGACAATTATTCGATTAGGTATCTGTTTCGCTGATTGAAAATCCAAACCTCGCTTTCGTTGCTGAGAAAATAAGCGGGAAGCTGGTGTAGTTTTTAAAACATATTGATATTTTAAAGCACTTGCTATTTTTTGTACTTTTTTCTTCAAATTTTAATGTTTAATCTTAAGTGCCGAGATTGGCACTATAATAAAAATTACTGGTTATTTTTAGTTATTAAAAGCACCTTTTTATGTAAATAGTCGATAAGAGAGCAGGCGGTTCACCTGATGTTAAGTGGACATCTACAATACCGGGTGGCTTGCAGATATTTTCCAAACTATTCAGAAGTGGGCTCTGGTTAACTTACTCACCGGACGGAACGCGTCAGTGTTCAAGTCGTCTTTCCGATCGGTCCTATCTTAAAAATTACTTCAGTTCCCAATCATCTCAATCCACTTTGCTTAGACAGCGTTCCTAGAAGCGTTTCCTTTTATTGGGCATATATTAGATGACATAGTAAGAAAATAAAATATTTTTTTATGTGATAAAGTAGCTGGTTTAGCTGGCGGTTCAGCTGACGTTAAGTGATAACCGCCGCCAATGGATTTTTGCAATGCCCATAGGGTTACAATTGCGTTGCCAAAAATAAAGTTACGTTCGTTTATACAGTTCTTCGATGGTAGGGCCACGCAGCAGCCTCGGCTGTTGCACGAATGGGCAGGCCCATCCGGGTGAGTACCACGACCTCACAGAAGACCAGCGTAAAGTGGAAGTATGACAAATACGCATTTGTCAACGCATCTGTAACCCTCAGGTGTGGCAGATGTCCATGGGCGGCGGTATTCACTTAACATCAGGTGAACCGTCTGCTCGTTTGACAACTTTTGGCATAAGAAAAAAAGTTTTTAAACGCTAAGTACCGTATACGGAAATCCGCGTTAACTTCTTATACAATATTTCTCGATTTAAAAATATTATTTAAATATTTACCCGTGACGCTATACTTTCATAAGTGTCATTGCGCCTTTAAAAATATCGGCCTTCAGCTTGGATATGAATGACTTTCGATTCATTAATATGAGGCACTCGATTTCATTGAAAAGTTTTTAAATAAAAAGTTTACAGATATGTTTACGAACATTAATAACATCGTCATCACCTATAAAATTCTTATTTACGTTAATAAAATGCCCACTTAATTCCGTCTAAAACTATGTGATATACGGAATTAAGTGGGAATTTTATTGATAGTATCATCCAAGTACGAAATCGCCAAAAAGACGCTTAAAAAATTCAATCCAATGTTGACGAAGAAAGTATACTGTGGCCCCCAATGTTCTGCATTGCTGTAACTCAAGCTTAGGCGAACGAAGCCAGTTATTTTTTCATAGGAAAGTTAAAATGTTGTAGTCTCTGTTTTGATCACTATAACTGCCACCATCTTGAAGTCAAAATAACGATTGTATTGTTAACATGTCATTATTCTTATCATGGTACGGTATTTATATATCGTTATTTATACATCGATAGTGAAATACCAATTAGGTAATAGATTCTCAACGACGAATAGAGAATTATTAATAATAATAATATGTTACGTACAGATCAACAAATTCATGTTTTTATTCTAACGTTAAATGGCAGAGCATTCTAAATTTATGAACATCATCAAATGGCTATATTATTATTGAATTACACTAGGATACAATCATCGTTTTCACGAATTTCATACATATTTTCCATGGTGCCGGGCGGGCTAAATTATGGGTGCTTTCAAAACTCCCCACGAATTTCAAATGAAGAATTTTTAACTCATCTAACAATCTATGTATTCGCGCCAGTACAATGATTTGTCATTTCTAATAATTTATCTGCACCCGATGCAACTCGTTATCATTCGCTTTTATAGATAACCTGTATCAAGACCTGGAAGGAGTGTTCCCGACGACCTCAATTGATTAGTTTTCGTAAGCATGATATCGTGAGACCGCATCTCGACTTTTACCGTTTTATCGTTTCCCATTAAAAAAAAAAACTGCCCACACTAAAGTTTAGGTTTAAAAATAAAATTGCACAAATTGTCCATAAACTACCCTTGGGACTGTAAGAATTATTTGTTTATGATTGAAATATTCGCGCAGAAACTTCCACGGACGCAGTACGCACTACGCTATACGGATCAAAGCCGCACATTTCTAACTTGAAATACATGAGTATTTTTTTTATGCGAGAAGGTGGCAAACAAACTTGCAGTTCACCTGCCCCATTTACGACACTCATAGGGTTGCAGATGCTTTGCCACCGTTTAATAAAGCCGTCCCGGGATACGTCACTCGCCAGACGAATAGCAGAAGTATAAACGCCGCTCTTCTGTGAGGTCGTGGTACTTCCCCAAACGGCCCTAGTATTCATTTGGGTATTACTCGCCGTGGGATATTCACACGGAAATAACACTCGGCAAGATGATTGCCAACCACACTGCCAAAGGCTTCGGAAACCGCAGGCACATTTAACACGGTGACGATGTTTTGCATATTTGTTGCCTTTTCTATCAGCACAATGAATAATAATTAAAAATTTCATTATTCATTCAGTTTATTCAAAAATATTTAATTAACATATTTAAGTTATGATTGATTATATTATACTACATCGATATATTTAATGTTAAGTGAAAATATATATTATTTTTAAAAGGTATGTTATAAACAAAATTCACTTGTAAGAAAGTAATTTCACGCGTTCAATCATTACACATTCACAATCGTAAATTGAGATATACAAGCTAAAATGACAAAGAGTGTAGGAAAATAGTATTTGTTATTTATACTCGTTCCATACAGACTGCGATGTAATTAATACACTCAGTATTTGGGCATCGTGTCCTGCGCAAAACAATCCCATAAAAAGCAACCAATTAACGTGCAACCACGTCGGGCGTTAGCATGTAACGTAAACAATAGGAAATTTCGGCGCGTCACATCGACCGCTGCAGCAGCCAGTAAAGGTCGTCGCATTCGACGCCCGCGCACAGCCTTGACCGGGAAACTGTTGCGCTCACCCGCGCCGTCGGTTTCCCAACCGGTGGATCTAAGAGCGATTCGCGTTTCACAAGCCAGCCCGTTCCAGCGTCGCTCGCAGCGCCCATACCCGCCGCGGTTGGGGAGAGCGCAGCGCGCGGGCAGACACGATAAAGCCGCTGTTGCAAGCGGTCGAACGCGGAGTGCGCAACGAGCAGATCGGAGGACAGTGAAGCCGAGGATGGAGTGACTATGGCCCTATCGGGAGTGTCGACCCTGGCCACGTACGTGGCCGCCTGGCCGCCGGCGGGCCCTTTGCCCGGCGCCTTCCAGTTCCACCACCAGGGCTCGAACTTCGCGATATTCGTCATGCTGTTCGCCCTGTGCATGATGGAGGTGGTCGTGCTGAAGATCATCACGGAGGAGCAGCGAGAACAGGGTCCCAGGAGCGTCACTTCCATGTGGTTCGACATGGACGACGACTGACGCGAGCGGCGTGGCCGATGCTCCAACAAGTGCCTCGACTTCCCATCGCATCGCATTCGAGCTCACGTCCCAAGCCTCGTTAGAAGGAAGTTTGACGTGAGAAACAATACGAATAGTCAGGTAGTGAGTGCGGATGGTAGGAGGAAGCAGTGATATAGTTAAACGCGAAGAAATGAGTGTAACGAAAGAGACATGGACGAGAAACTCATTTGTAACGCAATGTGACCACCTATTAAATTTATACGTCTCCAATATAGGTTATAGGCTGTAAAATATATAAACAATGTACTAGTATAACTATTAAATAAAAAAGTAAACGTAAAAATTGGGAAATGTTACAAAATTTTAAAAACCTTGCAAAAGTTTACTTTCACCGAGTTGTTGTTATTGTACAACGTTAAATAATGTGCAATCTCAATTTAATAAAATGTAAAAGTATGTGTTGACTTTAATATAATGAGTATAGAAATTACGAAAAAAATATTTTCTTATCCATAATCATCTCGTTTTTAAGTCATAGTACATTAGGTAATTTCGGTTTGGGATCATAAAAAGGCCAAATCAGTTTATCGTAACTCAAATTAGTTGTAATGCTAGGTGCGACCCTGAATGGCACTAGTTGGGGAGTTGTGAAATTATGAGGTGTAAAGAAAAAAAGATTGGCATAGATTATAAGAAAAGTGAAGTGAGTGGCAAAGTTGGTATGTGAAATAGGGAACGCCCTTGTGTATCGATCAGATCAATGATATAGAGCGTGACGTATAAAATGGCGGTTCACCTGATGTTAATTGATGACCACCGCCAATGGACATTCACATCACCCGTAGGTTTACAGATGCGATGCCATAATATTATTAGCCGGGGCCTATTTCATTAAGTGGGCTCCGGCCACCTTACTCAGCAGACAAATCGCAGAAGTATATACAATACTTACACTTCACGCTGGTCTTCCGTGAGGTCATAGTACTATCCTGGACAGATCTGCCCTTTTGTGCAACGGCGTAGACTGTTGCGTGGCCCTACACCAGCGTAATTGTGGCATACCTTTGCACACCTATTTATCATATTAAGGGATTATATCTTATTTATCTAATCATATAATTAAATTTAATTATAGATTATATGTCATATTAAAGGATATAAATCGACATTCTCATCAATAGATCCCTGTTAATCTCGCTGTATAGAGCAACATGTTGACAGGTTTAATTAGTAGGTTCCCTTTTTATGAATTTTCTTCATTGTCGATTGGCTTCTGAGGAGTGATTAATTCTATCTATTGCGTGACTTTAGTTCCGTTTCTTCGTCTTTTATATTTCGAAAATAGTACTAACTCAATCATTGTTTTGTTGTTATAGTTAACTATTGTTCAATGAGAATTTGATTAGTCATTATATAAGGGTAATTAGTGAAAGATTTGAATAATGAAATACTTATTTTCTGTAACACTACGCCGAGGCTTCTTCAATTCTTCGTCAGGGATAGCATTTCCATCCACCTCTTAACATCAGGAAAATCACCAGCTATGTAACTTATAAAACAATCACTGGTACTCTAAAGTACTTAGACCGGTTATCTCTTGAATACATTTTAATTTTCCACACAAAAATGATTCATTATTTTTCAACATTTGGTCTTTAGCTTTTAATATATTTTAATGAATGTGACTGTGAATCATTGTTAATGTACCTAATTTTGTTACACTGCGTTGATACGACTCGAGTTTTCTTTGACAAGATAGATTTGACAACTACTTCAACTGTAAACTAAATGGGGAAAACGGATAAAAAAATTGTCAAAGAAAACTTTGATCGTGTAATGTATCTTTATTTTTAATACATAAGAAGAGGGCATAGGATTAAATACCTACATAATATTATATACATAAGAAGATGACTAATAAATGATAACCGCCACCCATAGACATTTGCAAAACCCATTGGGTTGCAGATGCGTTTTAAAAAGTGGGCTCCGGCTACCTCACTCACCTGACGAAACGCAAAAGACTAACGCTTCCACCTCGCGCCGGTCTTCTGCGAGGTCGTGGTACTTACTCGGACGGAGCTGCCCATCCGTGCAACAGAGAAGACTGTTGCGTGGCCCTACCATAGTGTCGGAGGTGCGTAAAAGATGATTGATGACATAACAATTCAGGGTATGAAATCATTTGAGAATTCAAATTTTGTACTTAAAAGAAACCTGCATAAATCTTACGTTGAATAATGAAATTGTTGCAGTTGTGCCAACCTCACCAGAGGAGGTGCAAATTAGTATAATACTTACCACCTTACGCCGTCTCCTATGACGTCATGTTACTTCTCGGACGAGTTTGTTATTTCTTGCAACATTTTGCTGATGCGTGGTATTGGTGGTAGTAGAATAAAGCTCATATCCCGGTGTGACTTTAATGTATAGATATATAGTGTTTACACTCTCGAAATGTAAACTACTAATGTATCGATAACTATTAAAATAATATTTACATTTGCATATCGTTATAGTCAGATATAAAGGTTGAACTTTGTTGCACTGCATACAAGGACCTAGTTTTACATAGTTATATGTATCACACGTTATCCAAACTAATATTACAAATGCGAAAGTAACTCTGTCTGTCTGTCTCGCTTTCACGCCAAAACTACTGAACCGATTTAAATGAAATTTGGTACACAGTCTAGAGCCTGAGAAAGGACATTTTTTTTTAAAGAAAGATATTTATTTATGGCCTTCAACGCGAGCGAAGCCGCGGGCGAAAAGCTAGTATTATACCTATATGCAATATGACGCTACCTTGCTCTTCTACTCACCTGTGCACGGGTAATACTAAGATTGTTTAAAATCACACTAAGGTATACAAATTTTAAATCACATTATTTACAAATTTTTTAATGAAAAAATGATGAAAATTGTATGATATAATGAGACAAGCTTTTTCTTTCAACTAGGTGTATGAATAATAAGATAAGTAAAGAAAATAACTTATATTTGAACAAAATGTAATCTATGTTTCCAGATATAATAGTTATTTTCATTAGTGAAATAAAACTCAGAATTATTTGAAACAAAATTGAAATAAAGAGCAATAAATTTTTTACAAATGGTTTAGTTAAATAATAATATCTGTTACACTATCAATTAAAAACTGTCAAAGGTTTAGGAAGAAATATAAATCGACAGTCTTTTTTAACCAGTGATTTATAATTTTTTTATTTTTTATTTTTATAGTGCTAATCTCTGCACTTAAGATTTAAACATTAAAATTTGTAGAAAAAATACGAAAAGGTTGTCGCCGCTGTGGGATCGAACCCACGTCTTCGGCATTCGCGGCCTGACGCTTTTGCCACCAAGCGAAACTGCTGATTGCCGCATCGACGAAAATCTTAACGCAAAAGTTTTTATTACTTTATTTCTGCTACATAATCATGTTATCTCTTAATGTTTCGTTTATTCCAAAGACCTTGGATACAATTCACCTTGACTTTGAGTGCACCATCGTACGGCGTCATCGAAATTGTTTTCTTTTTAATTTGATTTGCCGTGTGCTCCGAGGCATATGAAAAAGCATCAGGAAATCCCCGTATCTAATGAATATAAGTCAGTTACACATTCATTTACGCCAAATAAAATGACTTTGTACAAATAAGCAATTATACTGATTGATATGTCATTGCCAGTATCGAAAAATTTTACGTCAAAAAAACAAGAACTGGCCGGCCTGTCCTTTTCGCCATTTTGGAATGACAAAAAACAACTATAAGTATTTACGGTGGTAGGGCCACGCAGCAGCCTCGGCTGTTGCACGAATGGGCAGTCACGTCCGGGTAAGTACCACGATCTCACGGAAAACCGGCGTTAAGTGGAAGTATAATATTTTTGCGTTTCGTCTGGTGAATGAGGTGGTTGGAGCCGTATTTCAAAAGGTTGTCAACGCATCTGGAAGCCTCGGGTGTAGCAGATGTCCATGGGCGGCGGTATTCACTTAACATCAGGTGAACCATCTGCTTGTTTGGCAACTTTTCACATAAAAAAACTATAAGTTAACTGTGTCATGTTTCTCGTCTCATCTTACATCATACCTAGGATAGTGTATAATAAATAAATAAGTAAATATTTTTGCAATTTGGGCTAATCCCTCACTTGACAGACCTGCTGTCAAATGTTTCGTTTAATATACCTACACCTTGCAATTAAATGTAAATGTTAAAAAGTTGTAATTGGTTGCAAGGCGCATAAAATTGCTGGCGCTTTTATGTTTCGCGCATTGGAAAAATTCTATGCTGGTAACAATTTTTCCCAAACGCACAAATTAAGTATAACTTCAAAAATATTTACATTAATGATTGTTTTTCCAATATTCATGAGTGAATGGAACGCCATGTGACCAAATTAATTTATCTAAGATAATATCCGTTTTATTTATTTATTTTAAATCATTATAAAATGATTTTTATATTTTGGCGGGGCGTTTCGGTTGCGAATGGAAATTTCGTATGTGTACTGTAGCGGTTCCATGGTGTAACGGCTAGTACTCTGGACTCTGAATCCAGCGATCCGTGTTTAAATATCGGTCGAACCTTGAGTTTAATATATACTATTGTCATTGCATTTTTAATATAATTATATATTTTGTTATTATATTAAATTATTATTAAATTAAACTTATATTAACAAGTAGTAAGTTCGATTCTAGCTTATACAACTGGCAGCCTCATACAGGCCATCAATGTGGGACAAACCCTACTAGATGGAGTGACGACCAGTGCAAGGCTCAGGAGCGTGCTTCGTGGTAGTTAGTCTGTGGAGGAGGCATATGTTTAGCAGTGGACTCAAACAGGTTGAAATGATGATACTACTGCAATGAATAAAACTAAATTGCCTACAACTGCAGATGATAATCGTAAAGATAATTTACACACGGATTTATTTTACCACGGTTACGTTAATTAATGTGTAGTATTCGCGTTAGTCTATGAAAAAAATAGAAAAGTAAGTTATGTGCATGGAAGTAGAATTAGGTAAGTACATCTCCGTGTCGATGAAGCTATCTGCGCATCAATATCACACGTTTCGTGACGTTGTATTTATATTGAAACCAAGATATGTAAAGCTTTTTGAAAACTCATTCCAGTAACAGCTTTTGTAACAGCTACTACCAGTTTATGTTGTCATAAACAACCTTTATGTTGCACTCTGCACTCAAACACTTTAATTGGGACTTTAACTGACAATAAACTCGCTAATTAATCGTTAGTTAATTCGCGAAGCCCAATATAAAGTCTGGTTCGTCTCTGTTTTATGCGAGTTATTAGTCATTATTTATTTATTTATTTATTTATTTATTTATTTATTTATTTATTTATTTATTTATTTATTTATTTAAAGTACAACTACATCATATATATTGGACATTTACATAGTTGATTTGATTATAAAAACTTATTGCTGATACATATAAAAATGACGGTGTACATAACATTAACAACATATGAAATAAAAAAGTGGGTGTTAGTAATATGAATATACGTTAAAAATATAGAAAATGTTTACAAATAGAATTAATGACTAACATACAGTTTTGTAAGCAGCTGTTTAAATTTATTCAGACTGCAATTAAATATATCCACATCGGTTATTTGTTTAACTAAGTAGTTGTATTCTCTAATTAATCTAACTTGAGGGGATTGTAGGCCAAGGTTTGTTTTTGTAACTGGAATGTGAAACAAATTACCAGTTTTCCGTCTATTTGTTCATGGGACTTTCGAGGAAGCTACTGCATTTAATTTTGCCATGAAGTAATCGATGTAGGAAACACATATCGATTATTCGTCTTCGGCTATTAAGGGAAGTCATCTTATAGTGTTATTTCCCAACGGTACTTATTAATTTGTGTTTCCTGTTGGGCAACACGTTAAACAGTGGTAGGGCCACGCTGATTTTGCACAGGCTGACGAGGAGGTATCACAGCCTCACAGATTTGTGATACTTTCGGCGTGAGGTGGAATTGTTATTGGTTCGCGTTTCGTTTATGCGGTGGCGGTAGATACATGACATCAGATGAACTGTCTGCTCCCTTGCCAACTTCTTCACATAACAAAACCCGACTGCGTTTCCGTGTAATTTTTGTATTTTGATATATCCAGTGTCAATCTCACAGTAAATACGAATCAAGCTAAAATCCATCAAGCCGTTCGGGCTGCACAGCGATCCAAACAATTTTTCACATACATACATACATACTCTCAAAAAAAATCCTCCTTCTGGCGCAGTCGGGTAAAAAAAACAACGCCAGTCTCATGGGGACTGCCAACAGAAGTGAAATCATAAAACAATCAACAATCAATAAAAAAAATTGTATAATATCTATTTAATTCTAAAGTTTTCATTTCAAAAACAACGGCACACTTAAAATCTAATGGTAAGAAGTTGTAAACATTTAGATGTTTTATCTATGTCCTTTACCGTTCGTAACGAGTCGTGTCTTTATTGATTCCGATAATCTTAACTGCTGTGGGCGGAGAATGTTATTACTTATCGGAATGTTATTGGTTACTTATCGGAGTGCAGTTGTCATGGCAACGTTCGAGATTAAATTGAAATTATTGTTTTAGAAACAATCTATCATTCCATTGAACCTTAAGGTGGTAGACAGTATCGAAGATTCGTTAATCAGTGCATTAATGACATTCCCCATACTAGGATAATGTTATTAGGACGTTTTGCATACACAAATTTCTTATGGACTACCACCCTGACGTGGAATTATGCGTGAATCGCACAATTAATACTTGTTCCATTGAAAGCACAATACGCGAGGCTGAAAAATATGTTTATATTCAAGTGAAATGAAATCGTCAATTTCACTTAATTTAAAGAAACTTAAAATTTGGTTTAGGCTGCCTGAATGCCCACGTGTCTTCCGCATTCGACGTTTACCGCGCTTTAATCACTCAACGTATTTTATCTACATAGTTTTTTCAATTTCATAGCAATGCTTGACGCATTTATTGTTATGTACTTTACAACACACGAACAATAACTTCAAATATCCTTTCACACCGATAATTCGAACGAGAGATCCATTTGAGCCATTGCTATTTTAAATTAAAATTATTAAAGTGCTAATCTTTGCACTTAAGATGAAACATTAAAATTTGTAGAAAACAATTATTATTTTACAAGGATTAACAAAAATTTAAATTTTGTATGCAAACTTCATGACTCGGCCCACACCAATAAGGAAACAGCCTTCCTATCTAGAAGGATAAAGGATATATTTATATAAGTAGTTTAATTCACTTGAAGTTACTACTTTGTACCACTCGCACGTAACCACGGCCCACCGCTGAAGGTTGGATGGTAAAAAGGCGATCGGAACGCCCAGCACACCATTATGGAGCCGAACATGTGTGCAGAATTTATTGGAAATTATCCTTTACTCATATTTAAAGAAAAATATGAAAAATAGCGCCATTATAATTTGTACTAAGTACCTTATAAATAAATGAATCTTATCCTTTAAACGAGCAATTCTTGTATATATATATATATATACAGCGTGTCGTTACCATCGCGACAATAAATGAAGACACGTCTAACGCTACTTGCCAATAATCATAAAAAAATATTAACATTAAACAAACTAATTAAGTAAAAAAGAAACAAAATTTGTAACATCCTATACAACTCGCGCCACAGCGTCGCATTACAAGCCTCTCCTTCTAACAGTATGTTTTGTCTCTTTTAAATTCATTCAACCCATTCATATGCTTTGTGACCTTTACAAATGAACTTTACGTTACAGTTTTATACGTAAGGGTGTTCTAAAATTCTTTGTTTTGGAAAATTTAATAACTCAGTAAATATTGATGTTTAAAGAAAGTAAATGTTTAATACAATTTTAAAAAGTTATCCTCTATATGTGTGTTCATTTATTGTCGCGGTGGTAACGACACGCTGTATATAATCGGAATCTCGGAAACGGCTCCAGCGATTTTCATGAAATTTAGTATGTGCGTAGATCCGGGGGCGAAAAATCGATCTAGCTAGGTTTCATTTTTAGAAAATGTCCTTTTATTCCTGTTCTCAGGGAATGAAAAATATCATTCGAATATGACGGTAAATTTCACCGCAAAAAAATGTTATAATAGTTTGGTCGGTAATCGGGCGGCCCCAAAACAGACGGCCGCGGTTCGTGTCAAGATCATTTACACACTCTTTTTTTACTTTTTTTTCGATTCCGGATTGCCTTCTTTATTTTTTATTTTTTGTTGATCCAGATGATTTCGTTATTTTTTCCCTTTTTTTTAAAGTTGTTTCTTTTGTGAAAAACACCACTTCAAATTTTCTTATTATTATGTCGGTAAGATCGAAAAATATTATGCATATTTCATTACTCAGTAAATTATATCTAAATGTAATTTCCAAAATACACGATTTACAAAAAAATAACAAACCTAGCAAAGCTCGGTGCTCCAGGTACTAATTATTTAAAGGCACATTATTATAACGTATTCTAGTCCCAAAGTAAGTACTATAGATACTAGATAACTGATAAACATGCTTAAACATACTTCTTGTATATATATTTGTAATATGTTTATATTTGCAAATAAATACATACCTGTTATAAATGTATAAACACCTAGATACTGGAAAAATACTGCAATCATCGCGCAATATTTTTCCAGTAGTGGGGATTGAACCCATGCCCTCTGGCGCAAGAGACGGTTCACTACCCATTAGGCCGATCGGGTCATCTTAACGTCGCCAAGACGTAGCTTTTAGTTGTAGTTGGAGGCAGTTGGTTAAATTTCAGCATTAAAACACTTCCGGGGGGCAGAGAGAAGATTACGATATTATTCATATCCACTGTAAATCACTACATCACTACATAGTATAAAACAAAGTCGTCCCGCTGTCTGTCTGTCCCTATGTATCCTTAGATCTTTTAAACTACGAAACTCACAACACTACTTGAAGCATTTTTTTTACTAGATAGAGTGATTCAAGAGGAAGGTTTATATTTATAATACGTTGCACCCGTGCGAAGCCGGGGCGTGTCGCTAGTCTTTAATAAATTTCGTTTTCATAATTCATCATAAGTCAAACTTGAAGCAGCAATAACCGAGACATTAGAATTTAAGTTGCAAAATTAAAAAAGTAAAGTATCAGTCTGTACATGTCCCACTGCTGAGCAAAGGTCAGAGGGTATCCGGGCATAGTCCACCACGCGTCCCCACTGCGGATTGGCGAACTACACATATCTTCGAAATATTTTTTTTAATTATTATTTCGAAAAAATGCAGGTCCTCACGATGTCTCCGTGATGACTCCGTGGCGCAGTGCCCAAGATATCGGCTTCGGCATCAAGGGTCGTGGGTTCGATTTCCACACAGGACAACTATTTGTGTGACCCACAGATAGTTGTTTCGCATCATGTAAAACGTCCTTACAACACAGGATAATGCTATCCTAAAGTGAGGTCAATGTTTTATAAAAAAAAGATGTTTTCCTTCGCCGCTGAGTGCCGATTTTAAGTGCTGATAATTCAGCACTTAAAATTAATATAATTGGCAGCGGGGATCGAACTCAGGTCGCTGAATTAAAGGCGTGCACACTGAGCTATCACGGCTCAATGTCCGGTCGCTTGGTAAGTTGCAAACCATCCAGAATTGGTACGTTCACAAAATTAAACTATTTCGCGATAAGTTACGTAAATAAGTTCTTGCAACACTTTACAGGTGTTCAGAACAGAACATAGCGATCCCACCAAAGTGGACGCTATCAAGCTTGTGTTCGACGGAATTCTTTTTTGCAGCGGAAAGTTTCCTATCTCCTACTGCCTGTGCGTGTTTCACACGGTTCTCGAAACAATTGGTTTAACGTATAATTGGCGTCGATTATAACAATATAATAAGTAGGCAGTTCTTGGATTTTATTAGTAGGTAAAAGCTAAATTTTGGGGAAAAATCATTAAAAAAATTTTTGAACTTATGTTCGAGAAAATAAAAATACATAAGTATATTAAGTAATGTTCTCCTTTCAAAAATTTAAATAGTGACAAAGGTTTAAGGACAAAACGTTTGTAGGTATCAAATTTACGCCACAACGAGCCACTTGGGCAATTTTATTAAACTTTTTATTTTGTTTGAAATATGTGCTAGGAAAATCTGAGTATTATAAAAATTAAAATCCCTTTCATCCCGACAACCATTGGTAAAAAGATAGAGATTTCTTGTCGGTCGCCTATATCGTTGACCTTCTTAATTATACTTATTTGTGCATCACTGTCACTGAATGGAAAGTATGAAATACGACGAGCGAAAAAACGTAAACGTAACTTACCCGGATGGGCCTGCCCATTCGTGCAACAGTGAAAGCCATTGCGTGGCCCTACCACAGTTAAAAACATACATATGTTTAGCTCTGCATATATTTGAGTAACTAACTGTACTTTATATTTGAGAAATCCGATAAACGTCTCATTGGTGCACGACTCTAATAAAGTCCGTGTACGATAACCATCAAAATCTCAGTGGCAAGACCATGACTTATATGATAGATATGACAATGTTCTCATTTGTCTATGACCGGGTTTCTTCGAAAATACCTTTTTCCTAATCGAGAACGAGGTGAGTTCTAACACAGTGTTAGTGGCTCATAGATGTTGTGAAACGCATAATATGTCGACGACCTGTGCCGGTTGCACAGAAACATTGGCCAACGTGTTGTAAAAATCTCGCGCTTAGAAATGCATTAGGGATCACGCGTTTGAGTAAAATTGAATTGCCTTTCATTTGATTACAGTCGGAGTCGTTGTCCAAAAGTTGTTTAGTTCATTTTTTGAACTGTGAAAAGTTGCTACGTTTCTTGCGCACTTCGTAATCGTTACATATTTTCGGCCGATTATCAGCTTTATGAATTGTTGTTTATTTTATTTACTGTGAAAATTGTCAAATGAGATTTTATTTGTTTTTTTAAGCTAACCAAAATATATTGAATCCAATAATTTTTTCGTTGAATATTTTTTCCATTGAAAAATGTCCCTACTCGTTACTTTGTAATGTTTATTATTAAGAAAAATTTGAGAAGTATACCTCACGTTCTTTTGATATGTACCTACTACTTGCAGAGAGCAGCATCGTGCTATAAAAAAGATAGGAATATTATAGAAATTATAGCATAAAACTCACTTGCAACCAGCGAACGCCAATAAAACATTTTTTATTGTTTTTTGTACGCTACTTGAAACCAGGAATAAGGAAAGTGTGGCGTTTCCCAAGCCTTTATTCCGCAAGACGGAAATCTTTATATCCTCAGGGGCAGAACAATTTAGTAAAAAAAATAAGTATTACTTATTTGTTATAATTTAATGATTACGTTAGTTTATTTCTGTTATCGTTCGTTGTAATGAATCACTTGTGAAGCCTTAAGTTTCAATTAAGAGTTAATTAAAGTTATTTATTTATAAGGATGAATTCTAAATTTAAGTCTCTAAACGCGGTCATAACTGTCCTAATCTTATATTTATACTAGCTGTGCCCGCGACTTCGTCCGCGTGAAATTTAAAATAAAAAAAATCTAAAATAAAAGTAGCTTAAGTTACTCCTTATTACAGCTATCTGCCAGTGAAGAGCCCGTCCAAATCGGTCCAGCCGTTTCATAGATTAGACATACAAAAATTGTAAAAAAAAATATTTTGGTATATGTGCCGTGTATACATCCATATGCATTTAGTAAAAAGCAGTTATTTTAATATTACAAACAGACACTCCAATTTTATTTATCTGTATAGATATAGTAGTGGACGCTGAGTACTCTCGCACTTGGCCGGATTTTTAAAATTCGATTCTTTTAAAACTCCATGATTATAGTCCAATCCTAAAATTTGTTGTTTCAAATTGAATTAATGTCTCAGGTATACCACTACGGACGCTAGGCAACTGCATACTTATGCTCATCAAACAATATTTTACCAGTCCACTACGCAATCAGATCGCTGTTCATACTCGAAATGTTTAGCCGAATAATGAAATCTCTTCTTGCAGGGATGATGAGAGCTTTAAGAAAAAAAGAATAACGTTATCTCCAAGGAGGAGAGTCTGCCTTCAATGCGGCGGAGACATTGAGGGCGGCGTCGTGCCCTGTGTCTGCAACCACCACAAGTAAGTTTTCAAGGTTTTAATTATATTAAGCCGGGCCACGTAACGCGTAATTAATGATAGCAAATAAATTTATATTAAAATTCTCTTTACTTTCGGAAGTATGGTACTCATATTTAGCTCCATTGGCATGCAAATGTTTCGTAATTTATATCTTAGAAAAGACTTATCTTAATTTAATATTGTACATTATATGCACATAATAAAAATAGAAAAAGTAATCAGAGGTACATATAGGTATGATTCACAATTAATTAATTTATTATCTCTTAAATTAACAACAAGAAAAATAATAATTCATTACACCATTTAAATGATTACAATTCTAAAACTAATAACCTCTAATAAAAAAGGCATTCTAATAAAACTAGTTTGTTGGTATAAAATAAGCTTCCTTAATGTTAAGGAAAATGACAAAAAAAAGGATACCTACAGAGTTTCTTTCGCCAGTTTCTTCTCCGTTACAGGAACTTCTGATTGTATTAGTCGGTGGTAGATTTAAAAAATGACTATCGATAGATGTGTATATTTCTTACTTCGATGAATATATGCTTTGATTTGATTTTTATTTTATTTATTAGCGTCAACGTATATATGTAAAAGAATTTTTACGTAATTATTTTTTAAACGTGCAGGCCCGTCAAGTTCGAGTCTGGTGCGTGGTTCCTGCGGCAGGTGCAACGAGCTCTCAGCCTGATGCCGTGGTCCATCAGCACTGAGAAGTTGGAGCAGATCGGTGAGCATTTATACGTGGATTTGAACATCGTCTCTTTGGTATTGGAGGGTTCCAAAAATATGCTTTCGAGGGGACGACTAGGGTATGCGGGACTGTAACAATAAAATCTCGTATAAACTGCCACAACAAGAAGCTTTTAGCTATATCAAATATTGTGAGCTTAGTACGACCCAATGTGACAGGGTAGTTATATCACCAGACACTGAACGAATGTGATGGGGAATGTTACAGACGTGAAATCAGCAAAAAGAAAAGTAATTTTAATTTCCCGTATTTACGGGATAACACAATATAAATGAAACTATTTTTTGGGACGATGAACGCTGAACAGAGTTCAAAACGTCGGAAATTAAAATTAAAAATAAACGCGAAACTTTGCGTCGGTAGGGCCACGCAGCAGCCTCGGCTGTTGCACGTTTTGTCTGGTGAATGAAGTGGCCGGAGCCCAATCTTTAAAAGGTTGTCAACGCATCTGCAACCTCGGATGTAGCAGATGCCTATGGGCGACGGCATTCACTTAACATCGGGTGAACCGTCTGCTCGCTTGGAAACTTTTCACATAAAAAAACGCGATAAACTCGTAAGAAAAGTAATTAAGTAATTGAAAGTATGCCACTGACTTCGAGCCCAGTGAACTTAGATCTTGCTTTTGAGTTTGCATGTATTAGCTCAGTATTATTTTACCCGGTTGCGAGAACCCAAGCAGGGTACTTTATCAGGCTAACTATATATGTTTGTTCCGTTGTGGTACTTTAGAGAACAAACGAGTTTGGTGATTCTTACGCCAATCGTGCTAAATTATATTTGCGAGAGTCACTCAAGATGTGGCCATAAAATAATTCAGCGTGACGACTTATGTACATTTGTTATTTAATTCTTATAGTATGTAAAGTCCATTTGCTATCCATATATATATATATATGGATGGGTAAGGAGAGTAGGTAGAAAGTACGGTTTACCATTCCTCCTACTCATTTTACCGTAATTCATGTCCTGAACCGGTTTTCGGGTGACAGCCTCAGCTTTTATAGTATTCACTTTTGCTTCCCCCGCAGAGGAAGAATGCGAACCAAGCCCGGGACCCAGCGATGTGACCAGAAGCGACCTGCACAGCATCAGGGAGTTCCTGGAGCTGCTCTCAGCGAAATTGGCGGGAGGACCGCTGGAAGGGACGAGAGTCGCACCCTTATACGACCATCCGGCGTGTGAGTATCAATTTATAAACTAACGCCGTGCCTCTTATATTTTTTATTTTTAAACTCTTTAACACCGACTAAAAAACCGCAGATCACCAGAAGTCTATGAAAAATTATGAAAAGTGTAAGAAGGCAAACAAATACACTAAGAAACATTAATGGAAATAAAAAATATGGCTAATTGTGCTTCTCGACTTCGAATAATCAAATAAAATTTTATAGCCATCATATTTCCCATGAAACATTTCGGTAAACTTGTAAATCACTGAGAAACACTTTAACTCTCATTAGGGAAGTTACAGATGTGAAGAAAACAAGATTTTTTCAGGAACATCAGCTTTTAGGATTCAGCAATCATTAAAACATGCTCTCAGAATGAAGACAAACCTCTTAAGACGAAATATATTATAATACTCATAAAACTCATCATCCAGCATCGGCCTCATTCTATGCTAGCTTTGCATTCCGCCGGCTTATATATTAATAATTCCCATTTTGAGTCAAAACTAATGCGTTGCGTAGATTCGAAAATGTTCGAGAGACACCATGCAGAATTGCGCGCCGCGCTCAGCGCTCTATCGACCGCGCTACATGACGCGCTAACACGTAAGACACGCGGCTACTGGTGGCATGCACATGTTCTACTCACCGGCACTAAACACCCCCGCACCAAAACGCAGCATGTCCTTTGTAATTAACTGGAATGTTCCTTTAGAATCGACTAATTCGGTTGTTTGAATGGTTTTTTTGTGTTGTATTGATTTATGCACGACCGTTTCGATTTGGGTTTTTGACGTGAATGACGCATGCACCATGTTGCCTTGCCTTTGACTTCTTTTGATAGCTGATGTTCTTTATTATTGTTGAAGAGCATTTCATCAATATTTCTTGTTATAGATATGGATCGGTAGTAAATCATAGCAGTATATTTAGCCACTAGAACATAGTAACATACATTTCAGTTGAGCAATGCATCAATAAATTGAGAAATGTTAGTTGTTACAGCGTGTTGAGGCGGTTTAGTTTTTAGGGATATTATTAAGAGATTTTTTAAAAACATAGCGTTGATTGGAATCTCTGAGGTAATTTGTAGAAAATCAATTGCTGGCACAAAATTTATTCAATTGAACTTTTAATTTTAAAGTGATTTATTTAAAACGCCTTCAAAAAATTAATAAGCAATTTGCTAATGTTTTTTACAAGGCGCTTCTTATTTTCTTACCCGATAAAAATATATTGATATTATCTTATTTTTTGTTAGTCATCATTAAATTATGATTAAATAGAATAAATCATTTATTTGAGATAATAGTAAGGGAATCCTATCAGTTATATATTGGAACTCATCGGTTTTCCAATTTGTAGATTACAACCTACCGCTGTATTTAAAAATATATACGTGTTTTATATATTTTGCAAGATGTTGTTCTGAACCTCTTATTAATTTTGATTTATAAATATGTAGTATAGTGCTATTTTCCTTATAAATAATGTTACGAATACATATTTTCATTACCGCTCCAGCAGATGGCGTTAGCAGTCCATCTAACTTTTATCCCGTACTCTTAATTTTTATCTCAACTTGCTAAAATTTAAATATTAAGTCCTCTATTATTTAAATACAAAGCGTATTCAAAAGATTTTGCGTAGAAGTTGAGACATGGCTTCGTATTTAAAATCCTACTGCGCATCCGACCGCTAAACTTCTCCAAACGCATACGCGTTTATTTCGTAACTCTACTTATTCGTTTTATTTCAATAATATCTCACTAATTAGTCTCGATGACACAGCACACGCTTCGTCTTCGCACTTAAAAATAAAACAAAAAGGGCGATTGTTATTTTTTGTCGAGGATTTCGTTTCTAATAATTGCGACGCACTAAACGTATAGGGAAAAAAATGGCGGATTAAAAAAAGTAATCGAATGCACGAAGCATAAGCGAATGGCTATTTATAAACATTATTTATCGCTCGTTGCCCTACGCGTGAGGTTTTGCGTCATCTTTACATTGCAGAGCACGGAGTAGAGCTCCCAAACCGCGACACCAGCTTGCTTACCTGCAATAACTTATTTTTTTCCGCGGCAACGGCTTTTTGCCGCAAGCTTCGTAAAGTACGATTCACATAAAGCGATACCCATCAGTATATGCCGGTGTTTCGGCAAGAACTAAATAGCGTGTACGCTCTTGCATGCTGCGATGGCCGACATTTTAAGTATTAGCTTTTCAAATCAAATTCAAATATCTTTATTCAAATAGACGCTTGAGCGTTCTTTAGAAACGTCGAATTTTATATTATTTTTTACGCGAAAGTATTTGTCTTACTTCCACTTTACGCTGGTCTTCTGTGAGGTCGTGCTACTTACCCCGGACGGGCCTGCCCATTCGTGCAACAGCCGAGGCTGCTGCGTGGCCCTACCACGACAATAATTAATATATAAATTCGTAAGTAAGTTACGACCTGAACGTTAATTACTGCATCAATGAAACTACGAATCTGCAAGAAATAGCGGGCTTGATCTAGGCAGTAGCCGATCCTCCCAATAGACCAGTGTCGCCAGTCGCACCAGGGGAACAAAACAACACCCAGTCATAGTGCTAACATACAAGCATTAGTTCGTCCTCGTCTAAAACCAACCCGTAGATAACGCAAGCATGACCACATGCGTGGCGCTACCCAGGGCCGGATTTAGGGCTGGGCAACCGGGGCTACAGCCCCACGGCCTCCAGTGACTGAAAGCAAAACATTAATCAAACTAATGGTAAAACCCGTTTGAAGAAGTATCTATATTTCTGCATTTTGTCTGCCACGTAAAGAGCTTTTCATATTGAAGTCTATTACTAAATGCCTCTTTGGTAGTCTACTCCTACTGGGCTGAACGTATTATTTTAGAACTGGACCGACCTTGTTTTCATAACATATGAGGAAAGCCGGAGTTTTCAGCCGACTGGATCAGGTACTATAGGTACAAACATTTCAGATTTGTTTACCGCGTTTTAAATTTACGCCAGCCGACGCCTCGCGTTCGGTGTGAATCGTACTTTAGACGCACTTACCGCGAACAGGTTTTCCGCTGCGAACCGCCACGGCTACAATATTGAGATGAGGATTGGATTGATGTCATCTTTAGTGTAACGAAACAAACACCAAAAACAATGAAATTATTATCTGAGTAGGTAGTCCCACTGCTAGGCAAAGACTTCTTCTCTACAGAGGGTTCTGTGTACGGCGTAGTCCACCACGCGGCTCTACTGCGGATTTGTGGACTGCACATATCTTCGAAATATTTTTTAGAAATTTAAAGTTTTTAAAGTGCTAATGTCTGCACTTAGGATTAAACATTAAAACTTGTAGAAAAAGGACGTATGGATTGTCGCCGCTGTGGGAATCGAACCCACGTATTCGGCATTCGCGGCCTGACGCTTTAGCCACTAAGCTAAACGGCTGAATTTAAAAAAATCAGCCGTTTTCTTTCGCCGCTGAGCACGTGATAAGTCAGCACTTAAAATTAACATCGTGAAGAAACCTGTATATTTTCGAAATTATAACAAAAAGAAATATTTCAAAGGTCAAACCCAGTGGGGTTGCCTTTGAGGAGGCCTTTACCCAGCAGAGGGACATATATAGGCTGTTACTTTCCGTTATGTTAGTGCAAGTCATCTTAGTCTTACACTAACACAGAAATGTTCTTTTAATTCCGCGCCATATCATTAATAGAGACTGAACCGCGAACGTAGTTACTTAACACGTTACACATATCATACAAATTCATGAGAAACATTGTATCCATATGTATGTACGAGCATGTCTATGCACATATCATTTACCATAACCGGTGATGTTTATTCTTTTATAAATTTATTTAACGGTTAATCTCTGAAAATACACTTTAGAAATATTCTTCCACATATCAAATAAAGGTGAAATGTATTCAGATTGCAATATTTCTAAATTGAATAGTAAGAATAGGTATACTGAAAGACTGACCATTTTAACAGTTGCGAGCGTTAAATAATTTCAGTGAATTTATTATAATAAATGATTTAATACTTAAAATTCGATTAAAGCCGATGATAACTCCGTAACGCAGTTGCCAAGGTGTTTGCTTCGGCACCGAGGGTCGTGGATTCGATTCTCACACTAGACAAGTATTCCGTTGATAGTTTCAGATCTGTAGAGACAGACAGACGTGTAATTTATATATGTAAAACGTCCTTACAACACAGGATAATGTTATCCTACAGTAAGCGGACAATGTTTTCGAAGAGAAGTCAACAATAGATCTTTCTAGTTAGCATTGATCGACGGGACTTATTACGTTCGTTCCACACAAAATACAAAAATACAACACGAGCTTCGTATCAAAAGAACTTTTATAAAGCGAGGAGATCTCCGATAGTCCGAACATGAATTGCACGCACATATATGTACGGCCATTACAATACCAAACTCGTCTAACAAGAATCGAGGGCTGAGACAATGCTGCAAGCTCATCAGTTGCCGCCGTTCGGCGTGAGTCAATTAAGTTTTATAACCTCACCCGCATAGTTCAATTCAGTGCCAAGGCACAGCCCTATTACAAAAACACATATACAGGGAGGCTTTTCTAACTTTATCCATTTTTTTTTTATAAAATTTTAGACATAAATCATGTTATATAAAAATGATAAATATTTAAAATCACTCATTAAATACATTCATTTGAACTTATCTCAAAAAGTGCGTGATCTATGAGGCAACTCATTTATTTTACTTGCGATCATTTATAACTTACACGCACACAAGTTCGTTTCAAAAGTATACGACGCATTTATGAATCACTACCGCATTGTCAAAAAGTTCTGTTTTTTAGGGAAAGGAATGGCAATTTTGTTTTTATTTCAATAAACGATTATACTACCGAGTCTGAATCTCCTGTGTGAATTTGGGCACCTTTAAAAAGCCACCTGTATAATTTATTATTTCCTTAATCGATAAAAATATACAATAGCGTACGCCTAACGAGGCAAGTAATATTTCCGTACATACATTTTTTATGTAAGATGTCAAACGAGCTGGCGGTTCACCTCATGTTAAGTGATAACAGCCGCCTATAGACATTGACAACACCCGTAGGGCTGCTGATGCCCAATAAAGTGGGCCCCTGCTACCTCACTCACCAGACGAAACGCAGAATCATAACACTTCCGCTTAACACCGGTCTTCCCCCGACGGACCTGCCCATTCGTTAGGGTGTTGCGTGACTACAATTTAATACAATACATACAATATTTTTTTTATTTTTCATATAATATGTAAATATTTTAACCGTCGAATAATATAACTTTTGTTACACCTGCTGTGTAAATAAATAAAGCATAGACAAAAATAATGATACAAATTAACTTTATCATCGGTACATATACATTTTTCGAACCTGTCTCGAAATATAGAACACAATAAGGAGTAAACCATCGTTCCAAACGTGCTATGTATTATGATTTCAATATTATTATATATATGGTACTATTTTCAATATGGTATGGTAACTTACGAACGTGTTCATTTCTTGTAAAATTTTGTTATAAATAAATTTTGTAAATAAATTTTGTTATAAAAATATTATTATTATTATAATAATAGTTAAAATTAATTCAATTCTGCATTTTAAAAATTAATTCTAGCCAAGAGTTCACAGGTGTTTAAATTAGGTAA